TGGAAGATTTTCCTGAGAGATCTATTGGGAATTTGGGTCTTGCTTACCCTCTCTCTAATACATAGAAGAATGCTTTATGTAGTGTTCCTTCTTCTACTAGCCACTTTTTTTTTTTTTTATTGCTCATCTCTATAACAAAACCTGAAGCTGGATAATATGTAAAGATATAGTGCTTATTAAGCTTAAAGTTTTGAAACCTGAAAGTCCATGATTGGGCAGTCTAGCTCTGGTGAGGGTCTGTACTTCTTCACATTATGGTGGGGGCATGTGCAAGTTAGGTCTCAGGTGAGACAGGAAGCCATAAATCCCAGAAGGATCTGGTTTTAATCTCTTCAGCTTATAGGGAAAGCAAGCCAGTTTCTCAGAGCAATGCCTGTTTCTATTGAGGACAGCACCTTCATTCCAGTGATCCTCATCTGGGAGCTACTCATAGACCAAGCCTCCAACACTTGAACTCTTGCATGGACAAACATATCTTATCTTAATGGTCATAGGGCCCATATAGATAATGCAAAAGTATTGTGTGATGTCAGAAACTTCCTCAAATACGATAGTGGGAAAGAGTTTTATCTGGATGGTTAAATATTCCTTCAAAAAGAAAACTGTATTTCCTGCTCATTAGACAACATTCTCTCCACTGAATACTGGTATTGGTTATACTAATGTGAGCATTCCGATGCATATGGTTCTTGTTGGAAATAGAGTTAACTGAACAGCATTCTCTTTTGTACATTGATGTGCTATGAGCATAGTGTTGTTGTACTACTGAGTGATGACTCCAGTCCCAAGTTCATAAAGCTGAGAGCCAGATCCAGGTAACAGATTCAATTGAATCATGGTTTCTCAGCTACAAGCTCTATTTTGAGGTAGAACAACTTCAGGCAGAGTTGTACAAATCCTGTATACAGGGTAGACCTAAGTAGGCATGTTTGAGAAACCGGCCCAGAATAGGAGACAATGGAAGAAGGAAAGGCTGCATGTAGGGGCAGAAGATAAGTTGTCAAAGGCTCTGTACCTGTTGGCAGAGGAGCTTTAGTTTAATTTTAATGTAAGCTGAATTTAAAGGAAGTATTTTTATTTATTAAAGATATTACTTTTTTCTTTTATTCTTCTCTCATACATTATATCTCCACCACAATTTTCCCTCCTACTCCTTCCAGTCCCTCCCTCCTGCTCTCCTCTGTTTCCTTTGAGAGAGAGAGAGAGAGAGAGAGAGAGAACAGGTCTTCCACGGATATCCACCAAACATGTTATAGTATGACTAGGCACAAACCTTCATATAAAGGCTAGTTGAGGCAACCCAGTTGGAAGAAAAGGGTCCTAAGTGCAGGCAAAAGAGTTAGAAATCCCCTTTCCCTTCTTAAAGGGAATTTCTAACTCTTTTGCCTGCACCTAGGACCCTTTTCTTCCAACTCTGTTGGAAGTTCCACAAGAACACTTAGCTACACAACCATAACATGTATGCAGAGGACCTAACTCCGACTTATTCAGTCTCTGTGATCCCCATGAGCCCTGCTTGGTTGTTTCTGTGATCTGTGTTGTCCTGGTGTCCTGGTGTCCTCAACCCCTCTGGCTCACTAGTCCTTCATTCTCCTCTTCTGCAAGGTTTCCTGCCTCTGCCTAGTGTTCAGCTGTGGTCCCTGGTGGTCCTCTGATGACGGGTGGGCTAGCAAAATATCGTTAGGAATCATTCCATTGAGTTTATTTATTTTGGCCAGTCATGTTTAGTTCTGTCCTGGAACTCTGGGCTGTCTTACCTCTGGCTCCTGGCTAGCGAGGCAGTGTCAGGCTTCCACTCATGGTGTGGGCCTCATGATGGACCAGTCATCGGTTGACCACTCCCACAAGTTCTGTACCACAATTACCCTAGCACATGTTGCGGCAGGAAAGATCAAGGGTCAACAGTTTTGTCACTGGGTTGATGTCCCAGTCCAACTGCTTAAAAAAAAAGGAAAGAGTCAGTGAAACTGCCTAATAGAAGAAAGGAGGCTATTGAATGGAAGGGAGAGAAAGAAAATAGTAGCAGGGGTGGGGGATTCATTATATATACATTTATAAGAAGTGACCTTCTGTAACAGGGTACTATGTGAAGTACACTGTGAAGTTTTTAGAAAAAAAAAAAGGCATTATTCTTCCTTTCATGATTTTTTTAAGATAAAAGATTTATTCCCTTTGAATTAACTAAGTAATGAACAGATGAAATCACAGAGATAGAAGCAGCAAGTACAGGGCCTACATTAGTCTGCACCAGGTCCTCTGCATATATATTATAGCTTTTAGCTTAGTATTTTTCTGGGACTCCTGAGTGTGTAAACAACTGGGTTTCTGATTCTTTTTTTTTTAAATAAAATTTTTATTTTTTCCTATTAGTTACAGTTTATTCACTTTTTATCCCAGCTATAGCCCCCCCCTCCTTCCCTCCTTATCCCACCTTCCCTCCCTCACCTCCTCCCTAAGCCTCTCTAAGTCTACTGATAGGGGAGGTCCTCCTCCCCTTCCATCTGATCCTAGCTTATCTGGTCTCTTCAGGACTGGCTGCAATGTCCTCCTCTGTGGCTTAGCAAGGCTGCTCCTCCCTCAGGGGTCAGGGGGAGGAGGTCAAAGAGTCAGCCATTGAGTTCAGGTCAGAGACAGTCCCTGTTCCCATAATTAGGGAACCCACTTGGATACTGAGCTGCCATGGGCTACATCCAGGCAGGGGTTCTAGGTTATATCCATGCATGGTCTTTGGTTAGAGAAACAGTCTCAGGAAAGACCCCTGTGCCCAGATATAATTGGTCCTTGTGGAGCTCCTGTCCTCTCCAGGTCATACTAATGCCCCCTTCTTTCATATGATTCCCTGCACTCAGCCCAAGGTTTCGTTATGAGTCTTAGCCTCTGCTTTGATACACTGTTAGGTAGAGTATTTCAGGGGCCCTCTGTTGTAGGTTCCTGTCCTGTTACGTGTTTTCTTCTATTTCCAATGTCCCAGATGTCCATCAATGGAGGAATGGATGCAGAAATTGTGGTACTTTTACAGAATGGAATACTACTCAGCAATTTAAAAACAAGGAAATCATGAATTTTGTAGGCAAATGGTGGGATCTAGAAAAGATCATCCTGAGTGAGGTATTCCAGAAGCAGAAAGACACACATGGTATATACTCACTTATAAGTGGATATTAGGCCTATAATATAGGATAAACATACTAAAATCTGTACACCTAAAGAAGATAGACAAGAAAGAGTATCCAGGGTAAGATGATCAATCTTTACTTAGAAAGACAAATAGGATGGAATTGGAAGTAGAGTTTCTGATTCTTGTGCCTGTTTCCTGGAGCTCTTTTTCTTCTATTGGGTTGCTATGTCCAACTTTAATTTAATAATTTTTGTTTTATCTTATTGTCTTTCATTTTGTTGTGTTTGGTTGTTGTCTCTTAGAAGCCTGTTCTTTTCTACTGAAAGGAAGAAAGGGAGTGGCTCTGGGGAATTGGAGGGTGGTGAGGAAGTGGGAGGAGTTGAGGGAGGGGAAAGTATGATCAGCATATATTATTTGAGAAAGAATATTTTCAATAAAAAGAAAAGAAAAGCTTTAATTAATTAATTTACTTGGTTGTTTTTTTGAGACAGGATTTCTCTATGTAACAGAGCCCTGGCTATCTTAGATTCCTTTTGTAGACTAGGATGGCCTTGAATTTATAAAGATCTGCCTACCTCTGCCTCCTGGATTCTGGGATTAAAAGTGTATGCTAGCATGCCTGGGCCTATTTTTGCTTAAAAGTCTACCATATGTACCATATGTGTGTATGGTGCTCATGGAATTCAGAAGAGGGCATCAGATTCCTTGGAACAGGCCGTTGTGAGCCATCATGTAGATGCTGGAAATTCAACTGAAGTCCACTGGAAAAGCAAACAACCAGTGTTCTTAACTGCTTATCCTTCTCTCTAGTTTTCATGATTACTTTTTAACAACTGGGTTTCTTTTCTTATTTCTTTGAAATTCAAAATGGGTTTCATGCCCACATACTATTCCTGGTTTACTATTCCATACTAGTTGTGTCTTACTGGGTATTAGACTAGTGTTTAATGACTGATCACATATTAAAAACACCATGATTGTGGTTTGTTATTTATACAGTTCTAGTAATTTCATTATCTTACATGACCTATGTTACATAGCTTTGATCTTCTCAAGCACACTTGTTCAAAATGCTTGCGATTAGAAGCAGCTCGTATTTTAGAACTTTTGATAATTTTAGGCTGTGTTGAATTTACCAGTTAAATATTCCTGATCCATAACCTAAGGTGAAGCCTATTGAGTATCATATGAGGGTTCTTAAAGCTGTGGACTTGGGGGCCATTGGAGATTTTTCATTTTCACATCAAGGATGCTCAATTTTAATGAAATTGTTTAATCATGACTATTGAGAATTATATAATAAATAGTAATGATTGCAATTGTTCTGCTTAGAGGAGACCCCACAGCACTTGTAATCTCTTCAAGGACGCCTGAAAAACCTCTTGTTATTACATGTATTTGTTTACTTGGAATGTATTTTTTATGTTAAATTTTTATGTCTAAAAATTTACCCACATGGGTAGTATGAGAGCATTCAAAAGCTTAGAATTTTTTAAGAGTATATTGTGAGGGAATTTAGGTTATGACACATTTTTCTCAAATGGTGAAACCAAATGTTATATTGGGTAATTTATATTTCTGGTGTTTTACAAAGGTTTAGGGTCTACACAAAATCAATTACTGATTTTAGCTTTTCTTCTGACCCACTAAGCGATGTTATTAAATGGCAGGGGACATTTTCAACATTGTTTCTTTTGTTCATAGAATTTTTGTAGTATATTTACTGGTAATTTGTTGTTTGTACACAAATTCTCCCAGTTTATCTATTTTGCTAACTGAAGGGACAGCCAGTCATATCTGTTTTCTAGGCCAGTGTTTAGGTTTGGTTAATAAATGTGTCTGCTCCACTTACTAAGAGTCTGTTTTATTTCTCATGCCACAGGAGAAACATATAAGTAATGAAGAAGAGCACTTAAGGAGGATGGAAGAGTCAAGGCTGCAGCTCAAGGATCAACTTCTTTGTCTGGAGACGGAACAGGAATCCATTCTTGCTGTAATAGGAAAGGAAATTGATGTAGCTTGTAAAACCTTCTCCAGAGAGTCAATGGAGAAATTGAAAGTAATTATGAGTTCTCACAGTGTCTTAAATTTTCAGTTATTTTCTAATACATAATTACAATGGGACTGTAACATGTGATTACATGGAAGTCAAATTTTTATTTCACAGTTTTATTATGAAACACAATAACCTTTTGCTTGCTTTGCATAGGAGTTAGAATCTGTTACTACAGGGTTCTGGTGAAAGGCTGACATACTCTGTTGAGTTGCCTGTATCTCACTCAGTGAAATACACTTTGACAAAGAGACAGCAATATTGCTCAAGGAAAACAACTTTTGGGTTAAGAGGCTTGGATTCTGAAATTTCCGGCATGGTAGCCTGTCAGTGATATTGTTACCATCTCTTGAGTTCTTTGTGAGAGATTTAGTGTCAAGTATGGTGTATGCAGTATGTTCCTTATCCCATAAAACCAACCTGTCTCTTCAGTACTCATGTCATACAGTATAAGAACGAGAGCAAAATCTGGAGGGTCCTGGTACATCAGGAGCAGTGTGAGTAAATCTGAAGTAGGGCTTGAAACTTTGTGGACTGACTGGAGCCCAATCAAGTAAACAAATTCTAATCAAAATATTCTCCCCCACATTTAGAAGGATTGATTGTTTCTCAATTAGTGGTCATCATGAGATGACAAAAAGTATGTCCCATGGGTGTTTGAGTTCGTTGAAGGTAGACATTTTACAAGCGTAGACTCTGGCCCTGCTGTATTCCACCTGACACGACCCTAACCCATTTGTCTGCAGTTGCACGTTTGCTGTGTTTATCTCATTTTATGACCACACTCAGATATCATGTTGTGCTTAGCTGGTTTTATGTTGGAGCTCCATTGTTCTTTGTTCCTCTGCTAGAAAATGGTCATTTGAGTTCTCTTTCCTCCTTTCTGGTTTTGTTCTTTTTATCTAAGTGATGTTTAAAAGAAAATGAAAATAGAATTCTACTTTTTCAGTTAAAGCTTCTGAGGCTTCACCTTTAATATAAATATTTCACTTGGAAAAATTAACAGATTTGGTAGATATTTTGCAGTTTGTAATTCCCTGTACCTTCTTTTGAGGCAGTGTCCCTGTGCGAAGACAGTGAGACTGAGATGAACAGTGTTTGGGTTAAGTGGAAAGCTGAGTCCTGGAGATGTCACAGGGTCTGCTGTATGCTGGCTTGTCTTTTTTCTATCTAATGCTGTTTTCTTAAATATGAAGGCTTCTCTGAGCTTGTGACCTGTAAATCCTAATTTCATGTGGAGGAACATATATTAGCAATGCAGCATTTACTCAGTGCTCAAATATTTACTTTTAGTCATTTGTGAGCATTAAAATCAAAACGTGTGAATCTTGTTATAAGATGCATAATAAGCCTTGTTACCTGAAACTGTAGGAAAACACCTGTATTTCATGGACAGGAACATTCTTAAATATTATAATTTTATATAGGGAACAAACTGTCCTTTCAACACAATCTGAATGCCATTCTGTGTTGTGTTGTGTTTAGATAGATGTACATGCTCTCTTTTTGTCTTCTTTCATAGCACTGATCTGTTAGTATCTTCTTGTTACAGTTCCTTGAGTTTACTATTGATGTCATCTTGATGTGTAGTCATTGTTATATATTGAGTATGTTTTCTCTGCCCAGCAGTGTAGAAACACTTGTGTATTTGATTTAAACTTTGGCCTCATATGGTTACTTGTTCTCATGGCACTGATTTCCTATAGCTATGCTACTTATAACTGGTTAAAGATATTTTTTTTCAACATGAAGTCATTTGTAAATCCATGGAGCAAATTATAAAGCATGAACATTGCTTATATTTCTTATTTCAAATTATTTATTATTACTCAAGGTGAAGGTTTAATTGAGGTAGTAAAAAGTTAGTGGAGGAGGTTCATAAAAAGGGAAGCATAATTGGTGACAAATGTATGCTCACAGATGTTTAGTTGTTGCAGCAGCAGAAGAAGTAGAGAATTTGGGCCTTTAGAGAAAGCCTGGTTGGAAAGGCAGAGCATCTACGCCTTGGTTAGAACTGAGTGAGTGGTGTAGGCCTTTAATTCCATCATGGGAGCAGAGACAAAAGAGGCCAGCCTCTACTTGATAGGCCTACACAGTTCCAGGTAAGCCAGGGCTACATATCATCTCTCTGTTTCAAAACACAAGGCCAAATGAAACAAAACAAAAACTATACAAGAATTGGGCTAGACTTAAAGAAAAAAGTGATTGAGAGAAAAGTTGGGTGTAACATAAAAATACTTTTGTATATGGAATGTTGTGGCTACTGAATGTATTAAGTGTTAGTTTAAGAGAATTAATGTTTTCTGACAGAGAAGTAATGTGCACACTCATTGGGAGATAGGGAAGCTTTTGAGAATAGGAATAGACATCTCTTTAGAGAAGAAAGAATAATTTTAGATAAAAACATGGAGAAGTCCTATAAAAATATATGTAGCACAGATTTGAAGAACTGGGAATAATATAATTTGTACTTACAATTATAAAGACATTGACAGCTTTTGAGTGCAGTTTAGCTTGGTAATAAGGCAACGCCAGATGTTGAAAGAGTTTACGAATGAGTTGGTTATGAAGGAAATCAGGGCAACTACTATAGGCAACAGTTTAATACAGAATTGTGTGACTATTTTGAAATGTAAAGAACAATCTTTACTAAAACAAAATGGACTCCGAGGTATAAAGATGGATAGAGAAGACAGAATTCAGTTTCTATGTAGGCATATCTAAACCTCTTTGGACTACATTGAATGGAAGAGCACCAAGAGGAAATTGAAGGTGAAGTAAACAGGTTTTAGTCAAGGTTGCATGCCAGGTGAAACCTCATGGACTCCACTCCAGAGACTAGTGATGGTGGCCTTGCGGCTAGATCATCCATATGTCTGTATCAGCTGCCTGTTTATTGCCATCAAGAAAATAAAGCTTAATAGAGACTTAGTGAGTGTGCTTTGAAATTGACTGTGTTTCATACAGACTTCCTCTTGGCAAATCCTTACATTTAAGAATTGATTATTTGGATGTTGTGGTCAATAATTTTATTTGTGTATATTTGTGCCAGAGAACAAACTTGTTTTAACATTCTTCTCTCCTTTTGTAGGTATTTACCTCTGGCCCTGAAATACATTGTGACCCACATCGCTGGTTAGCTGAAAGCAAGGTATTTCATCATGGAATCCTCTATCATCTATTTGTTTTTGTTTTGTTTTTCTTTTGAGGCAGGGTCTCACAGTGTAGTGCTGCTGGCATGGTATTAGCTGGTGTAGAGCGAGCCGGCCTTGAACCCACAGAGATCTACCCATCTCTTGACTCCTGGTGCATTACCAAGCCTAGCTATGTATTTTCTTGTGTAACTGAGAATACAATGCTTGGTTCTTAAAGAAGATTTACTTTAGTACATATGAGAAGCATTAAATTTATTTATTTTTCTTCACTTGTAGTACTCAAATTTATTATAGGCAAAGAATTGGAAAGTAAAGGATGATAAAAATTTTGAATTATGAATCAGAGTGTAACAGAATTCTTTTGGCTTTTATTAAGTTGGGATCTCCCTGGAAATATCTAAAGGCCGGAATAGGCAGAAGTCATGTTTGCTTTATACATTTGTATTAAGTGCATGTTGATTCTTCCATGTAAGCTCACAGCCTGCTGACTCTGCTTGTCTTAAGCAAATCCCTCCCTGGGTTGTTGTTTACAAGATGAGAAGAGTCTAGTTTATGCCCTAAAGATAACTTCTCTGTGGCATGTTTCATCAACAAAACAGTTTTAAATTATCAACAGTTAAAGTGAAATAATTTTTTATTTTTATTTAAAAATTTTACACTCTGGTACCCTTTTATTGTCTGAAAATTTCATACATGTATGTGCTGTGTCACCCACCCCTCAATGTCTCTTCTCTTCCTTCCATCACTTTTCACTATGGGATGCGTACTCTTATATCTTCGATCAGTTTGCAAATATATGAAATAATATTACCTCTGTACACTTTCAGTTCTTTGTAGAATAATCTTCTTCAGCTTTAATATACATATATCTTCTTGGGTCCTAGCACTTACCTGGCAGCTCACAACCATCTGTGGCTCCATATATCTAAATCTTTTTATTTCACTTAAGTTTCATAATAAAAGCACCTGTAGTGTAAACTGGGTTATACTACAGTATATGGATTATTATATATTATAATGTATTATACTTCCAGTTTTCTAGTTTCCTGTATGAAGAGGCTTTTAAATCTGTTGATTGGTTGGTTGATTGATTGATTAATTGATTGGTTGGTTGGTTGGTTGATTGGTTGGTTGATTGTTTGCTGAGCTTTAATCTAGTCTTAGGCATTGTATGTGCCACTGGACTGTACTCCCCACTCCCACTGTACTTGTTTGTAAACATGGAAAAGATGAAGCCTCACGGGAGAAGCAGCATGTTCATTGCCTGGTGAAGAATGGATGAACAGATGACCTACCGTCTGACTCCAAATTAACGTCTTTCCACCGCAGGCTTTGTCATTCAGAGTCTTTGTTTATTCAGCCAGTGTTCATCAACTTTTGTATCAGTCACTGTAGCTCTTATGAGTCGCAGGGCTAATGCTGAGGTCTGGACGGCTTCTTTGAAGTGTGCTATGTGGTTACAGCTGTTTGAAGACATTGACAAAGGCACCTAGAAAATTAAGACACAGCTGATGTTTGTGCTGGTGAGATGGTGGGAACTAATGTTGCAAGTGCGTCATAGTCAGCTACTACAAGGACTCAGCACTTAAACACTTAAATGGGCTTAAAACACTCAAGTGGTCTTATGAAAATCAGGTGAAGGCTAGAGAGGTAGACTGGTGCCTAAGTCTACTGATTGCTCTTCCAGACAACCTGAGTTTGGTTCCTAGCACTCACACAGCAGCTCACAACCATCTCTAACTCCATCTGCAGGGACTCTAAAGTCCCTTTCTGGATTTTGGGCCACTAGGAAGACATGTGGGTACACAGACATACACATAGGGAAAACACTCATACACATAGGCAAAACACCCATATACATATGCAGAACACCCATACACATAAAAATATCAGTCTTGTGGAAATCAATTGGTTAATTATGGGCGAATGGTGGCAAGAGGTTGAGAATATTTGAGTGATCCCTGCTGAGGGTGCCGAGGAGGTACAGGTGGTAAGTGGGGCCATGACAGTGAGGTCCTCTGAAGGTCAGCCATGCAGTAGGTGGGATTGTAAGGAATCAAAATACTGTGAATGAACACAGAATTTACCTCACTGTATAAAATTCTCTCCTTTTTCAAAAACACCAGTCCTGTGCATTTCAACCATTTTTGCTAGAAATAGATGCAAATTTATATTCTTGCCTTTTGCATAGGAAATGTAGAATGCACATGTTTTGGTATCTCAGAATTCCTTGGCTGGGAACTTGTGTTGTGCATTAATTTTACATTTCTCTTTTTCTTTTCCCTAACTCTGCAGTTCTGACAACAAGAGCAATGTACTTAGAATTTTCTTTCAAGTTAAAATCTTTATCATTTCTCAACAGAAAGCTTTCACTGCTGTGGTTCAGTTAAATTATTAGAGGCAGAGATGACTCTTAATCATAGCTCTTTAATTTGGGAACTAGTGAGCAGTTTTCCCTTATCATTTAATGGGGTTGAACTTGTGATCAGACCAGCTTTAATACTGCATGAGACAACTGCTCCGTCACAGTGTAAAAGGGTGTGATAAAAAATACCATGTTGACCAGCTGACTAGGGAGGAATTGAATCTATTTCCTGGAAAGATGGCTTAGGTTATTGATGGGCTACAATCCTGTAATGTCCGCGAACTATGACTAGACAGCTCTATAAGTATTGGAGATAAGATCTGAAATCAGGAAACAGAAACTATATGGAAAGTAGAATTGCTATTCAGCTAGTCCATCCTGACATCTCACAGTATTGGAAAGACCTTGGAGGGCATTTGGTAATTGTTTTCATAAATCTACTCAATGAATTTTTTTTTTTTTTTTTTTTTTTTTTTTTTTGTGAGTGTTAACTGTAGAGCTAGCAGGCTGCGTGGGGTTTTTACCAATGTCGCTTTGTGGGCAGTGGCGGCATGACATAAACGTGAAGTCCAACTGAGTAAGTCCAGCTTTGCAGATTTGTGGAGCACCAAGATGGGACATTATAAGAAGGGAGTGGAGACAGCTATTAGAGAATGCCAAGCAAGTAGTTCACGTAGATTAAGGATGGGATTTTGTTGTAAATTCTAGCAGGCCATGTGGAGGCTGTGGTTTTCTTTGCTTAACAGAGAATAATATGATATCCTAAATGCTATATTACATTCTGTGGCACAAACATTCGTAAGCCCTAGAGGAACCTGCTTTGTTAGAAAAGGTAGATGAACATGCTGAAACTTTGAATAGTATGTGCAAGAGCTTTGATGAGTACATGCAGAGACTTCCATGAAGGTCTGATGTCTCTGATAGATCCTGAAAGTGACTCATGGAAGCACATGCATGCCGAGAGGACATGATAATTGCAAAGAAACTCCAAGTGCTCTCATCCAAGTAGAATCTGAAAGGGTGAGGTAGAAAATGGCAGAGGGGATGCTCCAGACAGAGATGGGGATTAGGTTTATAGGGAAAGGCATCCCTCTGTTTTCAGGAGCTGAGACCCAGAATGGTATTTAATGAAAAAAAAATAAATAAAAAAACAGGAATTTTTTTTTAAAAAACAGGAATTTGTAAAAGGGAGTGCCTTGCTCCTGTTTGTATTATACGGAGGAATTGTGTGATGTGTGTTGTATCACATTCTAGAGATGTGAGAGTCAGCTTAGAGGTGGTAAGATTGAAATCAGGGAGACCAACCAGAGTGAGGCATACTTTGGTTTGAATTGTGGAAATTGTTCAAAAATTTACGGGGACAGCATTTTGGTGATAACATTCAAATAAAGATTGATGTCATATCAGAGAGTGATGAAGGCTGAGATGCACTTTTTTTTTTTTTTAGGTCAAACTGTAAGAGTTTGATACCTAAATAAATGAGCAGGCAGAATCCTCTACAGCCAACTAGCTAATAGTGGAATTCATATTTTGAAGTATTTGTTTGGATAGTGAAGTCCAAAGAGAAGGAAGGACATGGCGGTCTAAATGGAGGGAAATGGAAGTGGAGAAACATTGTTGATGAGATAATAGGGATGAAATCTCAAATCTAGAGTAGGCAAGCGCTACAGGATGGGGCCACATAGAAGTTCGAATGACTGTCCATTCCAGATGTCAGTTCCATTCTTAGGATAGTGACTAAAGGAAAACCAATGTCATGCACAAGGCACAGTCCCAAATGCTCTGTGGTTTACATGTTTTCAGAGTCTAGTGTTAATTATTCCTTTAAAGTGTAACAAATGCATATGTGCAGAATGTGGCATCCTTCTTAGCTGTTGTCCTTTCCACTGAATCCCTACTCACTCCTCCAGTCTGTAAGTCCCATGGTGGACTTCCTGTGTTTTGTTTCTTTGCTACACTTTTCACACTTGTCACAGTGTGTCTCACCAGATGCTCAGTAAATTCTTATCCCAAAGAATACAACTTTGGGGATTTTACATTTTTTTCACTCAATGTATTTTCCTCTGCCTCAGAATTACAGAAGGATGAGTAGTGAACACACAGACTTTAAGTAAATGTCCTTGATTGTTGGGATCACAGGCATGCCCAGCCTTCATTACATAGTTTAATTCTCAAGCATTTTTTAAAAATTAATTCAGAGCCATGAACTACAAGATTGTAGAAAAGGAAATATACTTCTACAGTATTGGGAAACACAGGATCCTTGGGCTGTTCTGTCCGTAGAGCCCCACTTCTTGTGTCAGTAATATTACTTGTGCTAGCATTGCAAAGTCCCTTGTTTACCATGGTAGTGCTCAAGTGGCTTGAGAAATCCTAGCGTGGTTATAGATGTTGCAGATCCTGCTGCAGGTCAGAGAACTGAGGCGGCCCAGAACCTTCTGAGTTCCTGAGGATTTTGTTTACTTTGACAACTGAAATCTTTGTTAGTTTTGTGGTCTGCATTCAAACAAAACTTTACATTTTTGAATATTGCCTCTTTGTGTGAAAAAATATTTGATCTTATATATTCTTGTTTAGGATATGAATAATCATCTAATATTTTGTCCTCTTAATAAAAATGAAATTATCATACTCAGTGTTTGTTTCATTTTTTTTGGAAATGTGCTTTAGTTATATACATGGAAACTGTATAGTTTAAGGGAAAATAGTGTAAGTGTTAAAATATATTGTTATTATGGAGACCTTTTTCTTTTTTAATCATGTTTAGAAGTAAAATGTAAAGAATGTATTATTTAAAAATTATAATTCTAATCTGAGTGTGATGGTACTGGCCTATTATCCCAGCTACTTAGGAAGCTGAGGCAGGAGGATACCAAAGCTCTTTAAGGATGGACTTACTGAGACTCTGTCTCAAAATAAAAGTAAAAAATGGCTGGAGATTGGCTTAGTGGCCTAAGCCAATATGTGAGGCCCTGGGTTTGATCCCTAGTACCATATACACTGAAAAATGTACTTGTATTTGAATTATATGATCTGGTTCAGTTTATTTTGGTGACATAGCATAGTCCAAAAAAAAAAAAAATTGCCATCTGCCCTCCCCCCGGTTCTTATGCAAGCACTTTTTTTTCTTCAAACTTATTTTTAGAGTTTTGATGATGGAAGCATAGTAGTTAAAGCAGCAAAATTATGGGTCCTAGTGTTATTGCTGACTATATAAACTATCATCTTTTATGTGAATTTTCTGTTTTCTTTGGTTTTGAGTTTTGAGTCATTACATAGTAACTTTGTTCTATTATGATAAGTCTCAGTAGAGAGCTCTCATGGAATAGAAAGATCCTTGTGATAGTTTTACTAGCTGCTTATGAATATTCTCACCCAATTATAAACTGGAACTACATAGATAAAAACTGCCTTATTTCCAAATTCCCTATATTGGTTTATTTAGCAATGCTTGTTCATGTTGTTAAATAAATGAGTCTGTTATGCAATCTGTAAAATGTTTCTGTGAGTGGCTAATAGGAAGGTTTCTGCTGTATGATTAATAGCCTTGCCAACTAATTATAATTTGCAATGGTTAAAGTCCTGGGTTCCAAGCCACTTTTTCAAGATACTTAATGAAGATGCTGGATATTTATCTAACAAACACAATTTCTTATAATTGATTATTGGTTGATTAAATTTGCATAAATTTTAATTTTATTTGGGATTATTAATACATTCTATATTTACTTTCACTTTGTATGAAGACTCTAAGTATAACCGAATCTTAATTTTGTTTGACAGTAGGATAAAGCCTTTTGCAGGAGTTGACTGAAGTCATTGGTCACATTATAGTCATTTTTTCTGGCTTATCATAGCAAAATGCCACACACTGACTGGTTGTTTAAACAACTGACATTTATTTTTTTCATAGTCGGAGAGGTGAGTCCAAGATAAAGGTGTTACTTTGGCTCTCTTCCTGGCTTGTGGAGGCCACCCTGTCTGTGTCTTGCTCTATCTTTTGTTTATATCCTATAGGAAAGAATTTTGGTGTCTTCTTCTCCTCCTACAGGAACACCAGGTCTCAGGGTTAGGGTTCTACCCTTACAAAATGATTCTCATCCCATCCCTCAGGATATATAGTCATGTTTACGCTTTTGCTTTAGTGCCTGACTTTTGAGCTTTATACCCTTCTATAACCTTCATCTTTGCTTCTGTATCTCACTGGTTCAAGAGCTCCATTTTCCAGTCTGACTTCTCATTCCCAAGGCTTTGCTGCTTCTTAGTTCTTGTTTTGTTCTTGTAAATTCAAAACTCAGTTACCAGTATTGATTCTTCTTTCTACCTTACTATGGATATGGAGGAACTATTAGATCTGAAATAGTCAAGTTTTGGCTCTTCCCATCTTCATTTGCTTGCAGCTGTGTTTCTCCTTGATTTCCAGCTTCCAATATGTGCTCCTCTCTGAGCTCCTGGTTCAGTGAGAGAACTTGTTTCAAAAAGTGAAGTAGGGAGTGGTGGAGGAAGATAGCTGATACTGACTTCTAGCTTCCGTAATTGTGCATATGGTACTCTCCTATGTGCACGCACACACACATACACACACACACACATACATACATACAACACACTCACTCAAGTGAGATTTGCTAAGTGTATTTAGTATTTTTATAGAGTTGTATGGCCATCAGCACAAGTTTATTTTGCACCTAGGAAGAAAATCAGAACTTTTCACTGTCACTTCCTTAGCCTACCTTCACCAGCTTCCATCCTGCTCCCACCACTACTTACCATGTTTCAAGTGATTTGTTTATTTTGCATGGAAGCATGCAAACATGTACTTTTTTGATTGCCTTTTTCATGTAGAAAAATGTTGTTTTCATGGTCATCCATTTTGTGACATGCTGTGTTCACATTGCTTCTGTTGCTATATCATATTAATTCATTTGCCATTTGATGGACCTCTTAGTTTCTCTTTCGGGACTGTTGTAAATATGCTGCCTGAACATTCCTGTATGACTTTCTCAAGGGTTTTATTTACCTATTCTCCTTAGTTGAATTGCTCAGTTATACGGGCATGTCTATGTCTAACCCTTTGTGCAACTGTGATAGTTTTCCCGAGCAGAAATGTGTATCGAGTGCCTTTGCACCATCAGTCTCTCAGGGCTTCAATGTCTGCATGTGTACTCCAGCAGCTGTCTCTTCCCTCATCGAGCCTGATTTTCACTTTTATCAGATGTTTCACGTAGCTTGCTTCTGCCTGTAGTAAAGACTGTGTTGAAAGTATTAAAGGCAGAAAAATGCATGTCTTTCACGTTCTGCTTGAACTGAGTAAGTGATGAAGGTGGGTAAGGTTAGAGTCTTTGAAGAAGGTTTCTGGGTTAACTTACATTCTTAGTTATGTACCACTGTTGATGTTACTCTTCACGCCTTCAATCTTTCCATCTACCTGATTTGTAGGATGCGTGGTACTGTGTATTTCTAGTCATTGTAACTGTGAATACATTCACTTACTCCTTTCCCCAATCTTTAAAGTTCTATTCTGAGGTGGTTTTTAAACTTTAGAGTGACTGTACTAGATTGTCTTATATGCCAAGCCAAGATTCTAACACCTGTGTCACGGCTGGAAATTTAACTAGCAAAACTCTAGTGTGGCCTCTCTAAATATAATGGAGTGCACTGAGTATTTTATAAAAGTCTTTCACTTTCATAGCTTAATTTCTGAAATAACATTTAACTGCTATAAACTTTAAAGCAAATTAAAGGTTTAAACTGTGCTTTACTTTCTCATTTGTGGGGATTATTGTAATGTTCCTGTCTTTTGTCTCTTAGGCTGTTATCATCTGGATGCTTATTTTACTTTTTAATGAGCACATATAAATGTCTTTTTTACTTTTAGACCAAACTGCAGTGGCTGTGTGAGGAGCTGAAAGAGAGAGAGAACCGAGAAAAGGCCACACGGCAGCAGCTGGCGCTCTGCAGACAGGAGCTCCGGGACCTGATGGAGAACAAGGAGTCTGAGCTCATGTGTCTGTTTGAGCACATCGAGAGGCAGGAGCAGCTTCTGGAGGAGTTCCACCAGGAGAAGAGAGGTGGGTCCATCACGCTCCCTCTCCTCCTCCTCAGCCTTCATGAGACGGGGTTGGAAAAGGCCTGCTGGTACTTCTCACTTAGGACTTCTCCCAGAGTGTTTTCTTTCCTTGCCTCTTCTCTTCTCATCTCATCTGTCTTCATTTCTGAAACTATCAAAGCAAACTGTTGAGTCCTGGGAAATTTCTTTTGGCCACAGTGTCCTCTTTTGGGCTTTTGATCTATATCTATGGGATGTCTGTTAGAATTGACTTGGTAAGACACTTTCTTCTCCCCTGATAAAAAGATTGATGCAAAATATCTATTCATTCAACAAGTAACAATATGGTAAGAATATGGCAATGTGTAAACCAAAGGAAAAGTCATTTACTCAGCATATGCTATACTGGCTATGGTGGCAGAAAATGAATACAGTAAGTAGATGCCTGCCTATATTAGGAGGTGTAAGCTCACTGGTGAAAGTGATGGGCTAAGAAAGGCAGAGTTTGGAAGAATGATGGCAGAGTCAAATGTTACACAAATGACTTAAAAAAGTACACGACAGTAGCGTTCATCATCACAGAAAAAAAGATATAATGCTTAAGACCCTGTGGCATCAGGTTCTGTTGTCCTTAAGCCAGCGTCTATTGCTGTATTGATAAAACGTACTAAGAATCAGAGGAAGCTTATTGTAGTGTCTCCTTAAGAAAACCTGAAACTTTTACATGACAGTCCTTGGACAGAGTATTCCTTTGAACAGTAACTTTATTTACATTTTTATATCCATGGAAGGATTAATTGCTAAAGGAGAAATCATGTCTTAATAATGCTATTGCGGAGACTTGCACATCCAGGCCACATTCAGAGAACTGTTGCTCCAGGCCAGTTGAGTATTGTCATCTGTGGCTACAGGAGATGTCAAATGATGCATTTCTATTTCTTCTTAATGGCAGTACGATAACAACCGGCCATGGAAGCTTGAGATCAAAGCTGTATGAATTTTCTGTACCATATGTGATGTTCCCTAGTTAACTCTACATTACAACTCAGCTTTCTTGCCAGTAAATAGTATTTGACCCTGTAATTATTTCTTTGTATTAAGATTAATGAGCATCCAAAATTCAAAAAAGAAAACATTTGTACACATAGCTTTAAAAGGGAAACTGCTACTAAGGTATGACAAAGGGGATTATCTCATAGCCTATGAGAAAGTAAGATTTTTGCAGCACAGGATAACTTCACAGTTTGTTTTTAGTCAATGTCTATGAACCATGAATCCTAGTGGCAGGCACTAGAGGAAATAAACACAATCTACTTTCCTTCATTTATTTATTTTTTTTAGCTTAACTCAATGATGGAGAGTTTTGTCTTAGCAATAGCGGCTGCTGTTGGACAAACATTTACACGGTCCTTGCCCACATGATTCACATCTCTTGTCTCAGTGAATGTCCAGCATAAACAGTTAAGAAATGTATTGGAGCTGGGTGCGGTAGCCTGTAATCCCAGCACTCAGGGAGGCAGAGGCAGACGGATCTTTGTGAGTTTGAGGCCAGCCTGTTCTAAAAATCGAGTGCAGGACAGCCAAGGCTACATACTAATACCCTGTCTTGAAAAACAAAAACAAAACAAAACAACCCCTTCCCCCTGAAACCTCCCAACAAAACAAAACAAACCCCAAAACAGAAAAGAAATGTATTGGATGGATAATGTATCCACTGACATGTACATGGAAACATGGAGGTTTCAGGAAGGAAGTGATTTGTAAATGTTTGTTTAGTGCTGTGCTTCCAGTGCCTAAAGCACAGTACAGCAGGCATGTCAAGTATTTTTGAGTCAGAAAATGGACAAGTAAATGAATGAAATAGCATTAATAAACCTGGAGTAATATCGCTATTTAGTGAAAAAAAAAAGTGTAATTTAAAAAGGAAGCATATTGATATATTTTAGATTTTCAGGGATGATATCTAGCTATTGACCCACATTTCCTTTCATTTTGAAATTTTCTTGGGCATTTATTAAATAGTACAGACATAGAATATGAATTAGGCTGTTTAGGTAACTTGAACATCATGGTTTTCAATTCTTTATGACTCTCTGGAGTAGGTGCAATGTCTGTCTTTTCTGTTATTTGGATACAGTTCTCTGTCCCATCTGACAGCAGTAGTCACATGATTTATATTTTGTATTCTTTGTGATGGTGTTCTCTAAGATATTTCTGACTTAGTGGGGGCACTCTACTACTAATAGTAGTAATTCCAGCTCCATTTCGTTTTATGATGTGAGCTGCCTTCCCAGTGTAACATGAAAATTTTCAAAATACCTAAATGATAGAAATGCTACCACGGAGGCCCTCCGAAGACTCTATCCAGCAAGGTATTAAAGTAGATGCTGAAACTCATAGCCAAACTCTGGGCAGAGTGCAGAGAATCTTATGAAAGAAGGGGGAGATAGAAAGACCTGGAAGGGTCTGGAGCTCTACAAGGAGAACAACAGAACCAAAAAATTCTGGACCCAGGGTCTTTTCTGAGACTGATACTCCAACCAATGACCATTCATGGAGATAACCTAGAACCCCTGCTCAGTTGTAGCCCATGGCAGTTCAGTCTCCAAGTGGGTACCCTAGTAAGGGGAACAGGGACTGTCTCTGACATGAACTCAGTGGCTGGATCTGAGTGGGGGGGAGCAGCCTTAGCAGTCCACAGAGGAAGACTATGAAAGACCGTCCTGATGAGACCTGATAGTCTAGGGTCAGGTGGAAGGAGAGGAGGTCCTCCCCTATTTGTGGAATGGGGAAGGGGCATAGGAGAAGATGAGGGAGGGAGGGAGTGCAGGATTAGGAGAGGCCAGAGGGTGGGGCTACAGCTGGGATATAATGTGAATAAATTGTAATAAATAAAAAGTTATATTAAAAAAGAAATGCAAACAGTATTTAAAAAAGTATAGATGTTTAAAATGGCTTTAGTTCATAGAAGCCAAATGGACATAACTTTTAGATGGTTATGTTTGCTGAATTTATAAGCATAGAAAAACTTCAATATGATAGAAATATTGACTGGAAGAAGTCATGAAGATAAAGATTGAAAAGGTAACAGGAAATAAGATAATAATGGGTGGGATCAAGAATAAAGGCAAGGAAATGGATCTTGGAAAAATCATGGTTAAAGGAGTTATAAACATTTTTCCATGATTCTTTTAGCAATTTGGACACACTGTTCTTCTATGCAGATTGAATTGCCTACTGACACCATCAATCAAATGTTGAATTGATAATTTTCAATCAATTTTTTTTTTTTTTTTTTTTTTGCGGGTGGGCAGGTAGGGGCATTTTGACACAGGTTTTCTCTCTGTGTAGCCCTGTCTCTCCTCGAACTCCCTTTGTAGTTCTGCCTGGCCTTGAACTCACAGAGTTCTGAATGCCTCTGCCTCCCAAGTGCAGGGATTAAAGGCATGCACCATCACACTCAGCCCAGTGTTTTTCAATTTTATGTTAATTATAAAACTTGAATTTGATCAGATGGAGGGGGCGGAGGACCTCCCCTGTCAGTGGACTGGGAGAGGGGCATGGGTGAAGAAGAGGGAGGATGGAATTGGGAAGGGATGAGGGAGGGGGCTACAGTTGGGATACAAAGTGAATAAACTTTAATTAATAAAATAAATAAATAAAAAACATGCGTAGTTTTTAAATTTTAGTATTATTATTTTTGATTGTTAGCTTCTTGGGATTTGTGACTCAGACTAAATGATCTTGACTTTGTGTAAGCTCAAAGAAAGGAAAGTGTACACTGTCTCAGAACAGGAAGTGGAGAACAGATAGAATAATCTTTTGAAGAAAATGAGAAGGAAATAGAGGCCACTGGGTTTCCACTTAACACCCTCCCTCCACCGCCCCTGTCTTTTGGTTCCTGGAGATAGAGTCTATATGTAGCCAGGTGTAGCCTGCAACTCAGATCTGTAGACCACTCTGGCTTCAAAGCTGTACCAGTCTTCCTCAGCTTGTAAGTGCTGGGATGAGAGGACTTTGAGCTAGAGTGTGGAAGATTGATTTTATGTTTTTGCAGTCTGTGTCCAAAGGATAATAGTGCAATGTGGTGGATGTCCACAGAACAGAGCGTGCTTAATAATGAGTTGGGTATATATATTCACTCATTATTTGGCCTTTATGTATGGTTTGTGAATGAGTTACACAGTAGAGACACAATGCATTTTTCATTTTCAGTGTTTTAGGGCTGATGTGCTGTTTAAAGCATTGCTTTGGAAAGCACTCGGTTTACAGAGTTTCATGTCTACCTACCTTATCTTTGTATATAAATGGTGAGCTCAAGTTTTGATGATTTTTGCTTATTTGTTTGTTTGTTTTTGTTTTTCCAATCTTTGCTTCTCTGACCCTGCTCTCCTGAGTTCTGTATGAAATTCTTCTGTGCTGTTTCTGAAATTGATGTTTGATAGCTGAACAAAAGATAATTTCCTAGAATTCAGCTTTGGGGTAGAGACCAAGGAAGGGCTCATCAAATTTAGGCTCTTTTTTTTTTTTTTTTTAGCACATAGATTAGCAGTGAGATTCCACTGAGCATGTTTTCTGTATGTTGTTAATTGGCTGTCCAGCCTGACTCACCCATTTTTATTATTCGCCAAATTATGTCATAGCAGATAAGTAGTTCATCCCTTCCAACTTGGGAGATTACCGATTTGGCTTTTTTTTTTTTTTTCCTCTGTAATGTTGATCTGGGACTATGAATGTTTATCTTACTTAAAGGTATTTATTATTTCCTAGTCATGTCATATGTTTGGAAATGTTTCTACCCATAGCCCTGTGCAAGTGATTACGGGGTCTTTATGCTCACCATTCACTCTTATTTTTCTTGAGATGGCCACTGTGTGGTGAAGAAAACCAACACTTATAAGAGCTTGATATCATAAAAGTTTTTATATAAATTGTTTCATATAACCTTTAAACAGCTGTGAAGTCCTTTATCTCATTTATGGTTGAAGCAGCTGAGACTCAAAGACAACTCCGGGCTCTTAA